GATTTATTTGTCTTTATGTTGTATTCTGAATGCATTTCCTTTTCATCGAGAAAACGATTTATTGAATGAATAGAAAGAGAAATATGAGTAATATATAAGTTTCCGATGGGAACGGGATGAGAGAGACAAGTCTACAACTTTGATATGTCTGTCCACTAAGTGTTGGAGAGACTCCTTTTGGTCATGGCGTCACTCCGACCCCTTTTGGTGACCTCAGCGGTGCGGAGGGTTATGCCGAAGATGTCCTCATGATATCGCATATTCTCCTTCAAAGTCAATACAAATAAACATTTCATTTAACGATCGTTTGATGTTTTGGTTTTCGTTTTTAAAAACTTTTACTCAAACAACTAATTCCGACACAAAGTAATTGCTCACAAAAACTAAACACAAAAGTTTATTCACAACACAAATGCTTAGAAAAAATAGATTTTACGACAACTACCGGTGCTATAAAAACAGGGGTTTATGGCTAATCTATGGGATCAATACCTTTAGCGACAGGAGTGCTACTTCTGGATCGTCGATACCATTGTCTTGTAGTATAAACTTCAATGTCTTGCAGACATCCTCAGCCATGGATACATCTCCACACACGTAGAAATGACCTTTTTCGTGCATGAGCTCGTGGTACACCGACTGGGACTCGCTTTTTAGGCAGTCCTGGACATACCTCTGCCATAAAAATAACACAAAACAAAAATACCATTAAATAAATGTAAATACAATTCGCAACCAAAATCGTGCATGAGCTCGTGGTACACCGACTGGGACTCGCTTTTTAGGCAGTCCTGGACATACCTCTGCCATAAAAATAACACAAAACAAAAATACCATTAAATAAATGTAAATACAATTCGCAACCAAACGGTAACTCATAAAACAAAAAACCAAAAATAACTACAAAAAAACGTAATAAACCAAAAGCACCCGTACTTTCGATTGGCCCGGTATGCGGGAAAATGCTATAAAATTGCGACGAATGACACCCTCACCGACCATCTTCTGGACCTCCTTAGCGTGCAATTGCATGCCAGGGGAACGGCAGCCAAAAAACAGCGACATTTTGCCCAACTTATTGACGTCCTCTTTGCGCGTTTGGATCAGTTTCGACCGGTGCTGCCAAAAGCCCCGGAAGGGCGCTATACCACTGCCCGGACCCACCATTATTATGGGCGCCAACCTATCGTCCGGGAGCCGGAAGTTGGGAGCGCTTCGTATGAAGGCGTACACCGAATGTCCGATCGGTATTTGATTCAAATAGTTAGAGCACACGCCGTAGTGCTGGACACCGGTATGCGTGACATACCTGACCACCGCCACCGTCAGGTCCACTCGTGATGACGAGCCCACGAGTGGCGACGACGAGATCGAGTAGAACCGGGACTGAAGGGCCGGCATTTGGGTCAACAGCAGCTCAGCCGGCAGTCGCAGCGACCGGAACTCCCGGAGCACCTCCAGGAGGTTCGGGTAGGACTGGGCCTTCCAATCCTCGTACTTGTGCGAGTCGGTGGCCAACTGTTTGAGGCGCGACCGGTCCAGGTCTGAGGCCTGCGCTGCAAACAGGTTGAGCAGCTGCTGAGTGGGAGGGGTAGTAATGTCCAGGTATCGGGTAAACGCCTCCCGGAGCGACGTCATCGCCAGCTTCTCGTTGGGAATCCACTTCTCCTCCGCGTTGCTCTTGTCGTCCATCTGATGGTTCACTTTGACGTATATCTGGTAGACCTGATCGGGGTTGTAGTCCGGGTAGTAGCCCAGTATGCCGTCCACCAGTTCCCGGTGGTTCTCCGGGTAGACGCCGAGGTGGTCGCCCGGCATATAGAACGTGGATGTGTTGCCCCCAACGTCCACGGCCTCCAACTCCACTAATACAGTGGTCCGGCCGTCGATCTCCCCGTCCTGGAGGGGCAACCGATTGCGGAGTCTGTAGTGAATCACTTTACGACTCGGCCCTTTCGATAGACCTAACGGTGCCGTATGTGTTAGTAATTAGGTTTATAGTATTGTTTGCATTTGTCATACATTTAGTGTAAATATAAACAAAAGAGTTTTAATTAACTAATTGATTAAAACCCCTATTCGTGGCTAAACTGCATAATTGTTTGTAAATAGAAGCCTATTTGAGTATCAATCCGTATAAATCTTTGCTAAATTAATTATATCTTGATAACAAAAATTTTACTTGGAATCTCGTATTATATTTATTAGTAATTAATTATTAAAATTCTAAGAAATTATAAAACTTTTAATTCAAAGTTTATATACAACCTGTTTATTTTTGATTAATTGTCTATTTTGTATAATTCTTAATTAAATTCTTAGTAATATCATCTTATTACTAATATGAATAGTGATAGCAATTACTTGAATAAATCTGGTTTAATTAAACTGACATTATGCAAATATTTGTAACATAATTTTAAATCTAAATATAAGCAGAATTCAATAATCTTTATATTCAATTCATTTATAAGGTTATTGAAAATTATAATGTAAATATTAATATTATTATAGTAATGGTTACTAATAAGTTTATAAATTAAATATCTTGTAAAAACTTTAATTAAAGATCAATTTACAGTATAATTTTACACTGATGAATTATACTAATGACTAAACTTTAATTCAAATTCAATACAAAACTTCAAGTGCTAACCAAACAAAGCCAATCAATACTATTGACTCACATTTGCATATGTCTTGAGCATTATCTCCATAATAGGGAACAAGTTTTGCGTTATCTCTGGACCAGAGAAGCGGCTTAAGAGTCGCCGATTTCATCACTTCCTTCAGATTGAGGT